TACCTGTAGTACCCCAAACCAGCAGCACTATTTGCGCACCTCCAAACCCCCCAGGCGTGCATCCCCAGCCCGCCCACCCCCCCTGCCCCCACGTGTCCCTCCAACCCCTGACCCAACCCTCCTGCCACCCGAACGGATCAGAGACCACCTGTGGCGTCCCCCCCCCCAACCCAATCCGGTCCCTGCTGTGCTGCAACCCCCCATCCAATAGTGCCAACTTCTGGCCAGTCATTGAAAACTATGAAAAACGCTTCTAAACGAAAAAAAAGGAATTCATGGGTAGCATATCCCTCACAGCGTTCCTCAGATGATGAGAGTTCTTCTGATGAATCTGATTTTGATGCGATTAATATAGACCCATGGGCTCTTATTAAGATAGAAGCTATAAAGTCTGGGAACTGGGACCTAGCACAGAAAACCTCAGCCTTTCCAGTTGAATATAGGCAAGGAAGGAATGGTGGGGAATCTAATTTCAAGACATGGAAACCAATTTCTAATAAGGAATTAGTGCAATTGAGAAATATAGCCAAGGAACATGGGCGTAGTTCACATATCTTTAGAAATTTTCTAGAAGCCATGTTCTCTGCACGTCTTGCTTCCTCATGATGTAAAAAATATTTCACAATGCCTTCTGTCACCGGCAGAATATTTGTTATGGGATAGGCATTGGAAGAAACACTTAAAAATGCTATCAGATTCATATACTGCCGATGCTACTAAGACCAACTTCACAGTAGAACAGTTGGCCGGCGAAGGAGACTTTCAAAAGCCAGCAGTACAAATGGAAACTCTGAATAAAGAAATGCTGCAAGATGTAGCAATTGCAGCTAAAACCTCCTTGCTTCTTATGCAGGATGAGTCAATGCCACCAATGCATTTTTCTACTATAAAACAAGGCATTGAAGAAAGCTTTATAAAATTTGTGGACAGACTTAGAGATGCTTTGGAGAAACAAATAGAGAGTGCAGAAGCAGAAAAGGAACTCTTATGCAAGCTTGCTTTCAGCAACTCAAATGAGAAATGCAAGGCCATTTTGAGGTCTCTACCGGTGGATTCAGACCCTACTATAGAGCAAATGCTAGAATGCTGTACACGTCACATGTCCACTGAAAATACAGTGGCCCAAGCAGTTGCTAAGGGTATTGCTGAAGGAGTTTCGGGTGCATATGCAGTCATAACCTCTAAGGAACAAGCTAAATGCTATCACTGTGGAGAGCTAGGACATTATATAAAGGACTGCCCGGAGCGATCACCTCCTCGATACCATCGTAATTATTATCAAAGACCCCAACATCAGCAATGCTACAAACTGTGTCCTTTAAACTCCTTGAGCCGCCCGTTCGACCTTCGGGCGCAGAATACAAATCAAAGGCCACCCAGACTCAATCACGCACCAACCCAGGCTGCTCCAGACCCAAAGGAGAAGCCCCAACCCACGGGACAACCCAGAGGGGTACCCGCCGGCAATTGGTAACTGCTTTGTCCATTGACTTTAATGATAAGAATGTTTACCGTGTTCCCACAGGAAAATATGGACCTAAAGGGAGTCCTTCAGACATTTTAATTACAGGTGACTCACTTAATACTCCAAAGGAAATCTTTGTTGTTCCAGAAGTGCTGACAGTGCAACCAGGACAAGAGATCCTCGTGCAGGTATACTGCATAGACTTACCATTTTTTCTTTCTAAGGGAACTCCAATAGCTCAGGCATTTTTACTCCCAAAGAATCACAAGGAACAGATTCCTCTCAACCCTACAGCTATGTGGGCACAAGTCATGGGACCATCCAAGCCTACCATCGAGTGCGGCCTCTCCTGCAAAGGAGAGAAGACCCACCTGCCAGGGATGCTGGACACCGGAGCAGATGTGACCATCATCGCCCGTTCAGATTGGCCAGCACACTGGAATCTACAACCTGTTGCAGGCATGATTTCCGGGATTGGTGGAACTACAGTATCCATGAGGAGCAAAAACAACATCCTGGTAGAAGGGCCAGAAGGCAAGCTGGCAACCATCCGTCCATTTGTGGTAAGGACCCCCGTCACCCTTTGGGGCACAGACGTTTTATCCCAGTGGGGTGCTTCCCTACGCATTCCCATTCAGGATTTTTGACTGGGGCCACTGAGTTGAGCACGCTGCCAGAAATACCCCGTCTCACCTGGAAAAGCCACAAGCCTATCTGGACTGAGCAGTGGCCCCTAAAGAAAGCCAAGCTGCGCGCCCTAAACGCCCTTGTGGAAGAACAGCTCAAAAAAGGCCACATAGTGGAGTCCGACAGCCCTTGGAACTCTCCGGTCTTCGTTCTACCAAAGCCAGGTACAAACAAGTGGAGGCTTCTCCACGACCTTCGCAGAATCAACGAAGTCATCGAGGACATGGGCCCTCTTCAGCCTGGCCTGCCCTCACCATCAATGCTGCCTAGAGACTGGACACTTGCTATCATAGACATTAAGGACTGTTTCTTCAGCATACCACTGCACCCCGAGGATGCTCCACGGTTTGCTTTCTCCGTTCCCTCTATTAACAAAGAAGCTCCGCTCAAAAGATATCATTGGCATTTTCTTCCTCAGGGATTGAAAAATTCGCCGACTATCTGCCAGTGGTACGTGTCTCACATCCTGTCTCCCATTCGGAAATCATTCCCAGATGCCCTCATCTATCACTATATGGATGACATTCTGGTGTATGCTTCAGACAAAGCTTACTTGGACAAAACAGTTAAAAAGACTATTGAAGCCATTGAAAAGGCAGGAATGGAAATTCGTGAGGACAAAATCCAGTACACCGAGCCATGGACTTACCTTAGAGTCCAGATCCGGGAAAGAACCATCATACCTCAGCAGATCGTCATCAACGATGACCCAAAAACCCTCAGGGACTTACACAGCCTGTGCGGATCCATCAACTGGATACGTCCACTGCTAGGAATTACATCAGAGGACCTTGCTCCCTTGTTCAATCTTCTTCGTGGACCCAAGGAACTGGACTCTCCCTGCACCCTCACAGAGGAAGCCAGAGGTGCCATTGTCAAAGTCCAGGAAGCCCTGTCTTCACGCAAAGCCCATCGCTACGACCCCAGTCTGCCTTTTCAGTTCATCGTCCTGGGAAAAGCACCCAGATTCCATGGACTGATCTTCCAATGGGACCCTAAGCTGCGAGATCCTTTGTTGATACTGGAATGGGCTTTTACAAGTAGCCAGCCTACAAAGACACCACCTACCAGGAGATTATAGCACACTTAATAAAAAAGGCTAGGACTCGCCTTTGTTCCCTTTCAGGTTGTGATTTTGAATGCATATATTTGCCAATAACAGTTAAAGACTTTGAGGATTTGATCAAGACCAATGCGAGTCTACAGTTTGCTCTGGACAGTTATACGGGTCAAACTTCATCAGACATCCCAGAACACAAGCTTTTCAACCAGAATGAAACTTTCCATTTGATTCCAAAACAAATCCAAAGTAGAAAACCTCTCAAGGCTCTAACCATATTTACAGACGGCTCAGGGTCATCCCACAAGTCAGTGATTACTTGGAGAGACCCCCAAACACAAGAATGGCAATCTGACGTGCAGACAGTAGAAGGATCGCCACAGATTGCAGAATTAGCAGCTGTTGTCAGAGCCTTTGAAAAATTTAAAAACGAGCCTTTCAATCTGGTCACAGATTCAGCTTATGTTGCGGGAATAGCTATGAGAGCAGAACATGTTCTTCTCAAAGAGGTCTCTAACCCGAAGTTATACCAACTGCTCTCTAAATTAATACACGTGATCTCCCACAGAAAGCAACCTTATCACATAATGCATGTGAGGTCTCACACAGGCCTCCCAGGTCTTATTGCAGAAGGCAACAGGAAAGCAGATGCATTAGCCATGGCAGCAGAAACTGCTAATGTTCCTAACATCTTTGCTCAGGCAAAGCTGTCACACGCGTTCTTTCATCAAAATGTACCTGCCCTTATGAGAATGTTTAAGCTCTCAAAGGATCAGGCAAAAGCTATCGTGGCTACCTGTCTGAACTGTCAAAACTACCAGATACCATCAATGGGTACGGGAGTCAATCCCCGAGGTCTGAATAGCTGTCAGCTGTGGCAGACAGATGTAACTCACTTCACACCTTTTGGAAGGTCAAAGTACGTGCATGTTTCAGTCGACACGTTCTCAGGAGCAGTGTTTGCATCATCACATGCAGGAGAAAAGACTATGCACACAATAAAACACTTCCTCTTCGCTTTTGCCACCCTGGGTGTACCAAAGGAGATTAAAACAGATAATGGGCCAGACTATACCTCCCACAAGTTGAAGGAGTTCTTCAATGAATGGGGCATAGCACACAAGACAGGCATACCTGTTAACCCCACAGGACAATCCATCGTGGAAAGGACACATCAAACCATCAAAAGAGTCCTCAAGCAACAGAACAGAGACATGAAAATCACATCTCCAGTGGAGAGACTTTGTAAGGCTCTCTATGTCATCAACTTCCTGAACTGCACAGCTTCAGAGCCTGACCCACCAATACTTCGCCACTTTGCGAATACCACACAAGCAAAGCTAACGGAGAAACCACCTGTGCTCGTGAAGGACCCTGAAACACACCAAATTTCAGGGCCTCATCAGTTGATTACTTGGGGTAGAGGTTATGCATACGTGCTACTACCATCAGGTCCAAGGTGGTACCCAGGAAAATACGTAAAACCATACTTAGGCACAGCGAACACTACTGCAGACGAAGACAAGAACTCTCCCGAGGCAAACACAAGACCACCTCAAAACCAAGCCAGCTCAGCCTGGAGACGAAGACATCGCCGAACACCCACAAACACAAGAACAGACCGCCCCATTACAAGGCAGCAGGCAAAACAGAAAGTTAAATAACAGTCTGCTGTAACAGGCCACAGATAGCCTTAACACAAAAGTGTTCTCTGAATTATGTGTTATTACACTGTGTTTTGTAATGTAAAAAAACCATATTATTCCCTCTTCCTAACCTTAAAACCCCTTAACCTTCTACCCACTCCTCCCGTAGTGTAGCTTAGAAATTAAAAGAAAAAGGGGGGGAGGAGGGGAACACAGAAAAGAACAAGGCAGAAATCCCTCTCATCATAAAGATAACAAATTGTGCTTATATTCCCTATCAGAAGCCCTAATCCTGCCCAAAGATGAAAAATATCTCCATTGGTGCTGTCCTCACCGCTGCCTGGATGCTCTACACTGTACCGCGTGCCTTCGGCTGGATTAGCCCTCAGCCCAGCCATAATGTTTGGGTAACCTTAGCAAAAACACTAAAACAAGACAACATGTGCTTGTCCATGGGAAGCATTGATAATCCACTTTCTACATGTCTAGCAGGAATTCCCTTTGTAGCAGATGATTGGCCTGTCCAGAACTCAGAGGTTCTCCGCACCACAGGTAAGAGACCCAATGGGGCTGATACTTGGGACGAGTGGACAAAAATTCTGCCAGATGCTTGAGAGGAACCCCAAGAATTGGATCTATTGGGATCCTCCAAAGCCACATATTGTGTCAGATTTTACTTTAGGCGTCCAAAAAACGATTGGCCAGAAATTGACCAACACAAAAACACATATCGAAAAGATGTATCACCAGTTAACAAAGCCTATAACCCTCATGATTGGTGCAATTACACCACTAGTGTAATTTCTGTGTCCTCTCTCCATCCCAAAGTATTACCCAAGGGAATGTTTCTCATCTGTGGTGACAGAGTATGGGCAGGGATCCCCTCCCGACTCCAGGGAGGTCCCTGTACTCTGGGAAAACTTTCTACCCTTACTCCAAACATCACCCTGTTACATAATTGGAAAAAAGAAAGAGAATCAAAACGACAAAAAAGGTCCTACGCTGAATTCAATGAAAGTTGCGATCCGAGATTGTACGATTGGAACAGACCGAAAAAGATTGCTGTCTCTCTGTTTTTACCCTGGGTAGCTGCAGCTAAAGCCCTCGGTGAAATCAATCACCTTGGGTGCTGGCTCGGTAAACAAGCTAACGCCACATCAGCAGCCTTGAGTGATCTATTAAAGGAAGAAGAAACCACAACACAAGCTTCACTCCAAAACCGAGCAGCAATCGACTTCCTGCTGCTTGCCCATGGACATGGATGTGAGGACTTTGAGGGAATGTGCTGCTTCAACCTCTCTTCGCGTTCGGAGTCCATCCATGTGAACATCCAGAAACTGAAAGATCTCGTGAAGGACTTGAAAGTAGAAAGAATCCCAGATTGGGTCAGTGAACTTTTCGGGCACTGGGGACTAACAGGATGGACTGCATCTTTGGTCAAGGGATTGTTGTTGATTCTCCTTGTAATTCTTATTGTGTTAACTATGTTCTTGTGCCTTGTTCACTGTTTCAAAAGAACTATCGCGACTGCATTTTTTGTAAAAACAGAAAGTGGAGTTGTAGTAAACCCCTCAGGTTTAGCCAGGGCCCCTTGGAGAATCTAAATGCTGACAGAGCAGCAAAGAAGTTTCCTGACTCCAGGGATATCCGCCTTATACCCTATCCCTATAGCCATGTAAGGCAATATCTTGTTAACCCTACTATTGGTCACTTATGGTCACTCTAACACCTTTGCCATTGGTCAGGATTGGATCCGGGCCAAGGGTATAAAAGTAGCATACTGTACCCCTACTAACTCGGAAGAAGAAGAGCTGAGACCCTTCACGGAACCCCTACAATAAAGCCATACACGTGGAACAGCCAGTGTCTTCTTCTTCTCCTCTCTCGACCGTCAGCTGGAGCCTTAAGCCAAGGGAAAAAGCTACCTAGCAAGCAAAGCTGAAATCACAAGAGCTGCCTAATCACTAAGAGCTGAATATTCCCTGCTTGCTAGGGGGCTGACCCGCGGCCTTGGTCTGAGAGCGAGCTGGCTTCTGGCACCCAGTCCCCTTGGGGGCTGAGCTCTGGAGCTGTGATAGCTTGCCCCAGGATAAGACCAAGTAAGGCTCATTTACTCCAGCTTCTACCAACAGTAAAAACCCACATAAAACATCTTTAAGGCTATCACTCTTGGGTAGGAATTACTGGAGCATGAAATGCTGCAGATGTGCATGGGGATTGTTTATCCGAATGCCACCCCCAACATATACTAATGGCAAACCCTGACTGCATGAGCTAGCTATAATGGTTTTACTCTACTCAGAAACTTCCCTAAACCAGAAAGAACTGTACCATCTCCTGATGCTTAATATTAAAAGGTGTAAGTCAGCCAGAAGGGGAATAAATTAATTTTCATGTGGCTCAAGTAACCAAGCAGGGCAAGAGTGTCCTGAGTAATAAGCCAGCTGGACTTATAAACAGAGCTTTAAACTAGATTTACTGGAGGAAGGACATGGTTTTCTAGGCACTTGAGAAGAACCAGGGCTGCCAAGGCATGAGGAATAAACAGAAAACACCTGTGAATTGCCTCAAGGGAATTAGGGTGAGCTCCTCTAAAAAGGGGATGTGGCTGACAGCCCAGCTGAAGTGCTTCTATACCTGTGTATGCAGCATGGGAAACAAACAGGAGGAGCTGGAAACAGCTGCCCAGATGGAAAACCATGACCTGATTGCTATCACAGAAATTTGGTGGGATGAATTGCATGATTAGAGTGCTATGATTGATGGCTACAAACTATTCAGAAGGGACAGACAAGGAAGGAGAGGTGAGGGAGTTGCTGTCTATGCCAAAACCAGGATTGATTGCATGAAGTGATCTTTGAAGAACAGCAATATGCAGGTCGAAAGCTTATGGGTGAAAATTAGAGACTAAGTCAAGAAAATAAACTTAGTGGTTCAGCTGCAGCCTTCAAATAAAGATCCCCTTTTATATTACCTCCTTACTAAAAATATCTCGAGTTTCATTTCCAGGTTGAGAAAAAGGCAACAGCAGGAAGCATCATGCTCGCATGCCCTGATCCTGATAGGGATCTTTAACCACCCAGATATCTGCTGGAAAAATGTCACAGTGAATTGCAAGCAGTCCAAGAAATTAGTGGAGTGCTGAAGTGAGTTGACTGTGGCCAGACACCAAGTGCCCACCAAGCTGCTCTATCACTCCCCTCTTCAGCAGGACCTGAGAGAGGAGGAAATAAGATGGAGCAAAACTCATGGGTCAAGATAAAGGCAGGTTAATAAAGCAAAAGCAAAGGTCACATGCAAAAGCAAAGGAAGATAAAGATTTATTCTCTACTTCCCATCAACATACGTCTGACCACTTCCTGGGACAAGGGATTCAGTATGTGTAGTAGTTGCTCCAGGAGACAAATATCTTAATGAATGCCCCCTCCTTCCTCCTCCTTTCTCTTAACTTTTATTGCTGAGCAGATGTTAATATCCTTTTGGTCAGTTGGGATCAGCTATCCTGGCTGTGTCCCTTCCAAAGATATTTGCCCACCACCAGCCTACTGTTCTTGGAGGGTGAAGAGGGGGTATTGTTGGAGAGACAGCCTCAATGACAAAGCACTGGTATGTGATCAACACCTTTCTAGCTACCAATACACAGAACTGTGAGAGCTGCTACGGGGAAAGTTAACTCCTTGTCAGCCAGACCCAATACAAGTGCTTTGAGGACAACTTTCTAGTACAGGTGATGAAGAGCCCAACCAGAGGAGAGGCACTGCTGGACCTGTTGCTCACTAATGTGGAAGAACTTGTGGCCTTAACCTGAGACATGAGATTCAGATCAGATATTACAAAAAAAAAAAAAAATTACTGTTAGGGTGGTCAGGCATTGGAATAGGTTGCCCAGCAAGGTGGTAGAGTCACCATCCCTGGAGGTGTTTAAGAGGCATCTGGATCTGGTGCTGGGTGATACGGTTTAGGGGTTACAGTAGTAGTGTTGGGTTAACAGTTGGACTTGATCTTAAAAGGTCTCTTCCAACCTTGATGATTCTATGATTCTAAAGTTTCTCTAACTTATTGGAGAGGTCAAGACTGGAGGCAGCCTGGGCTGCAGCCATAATGCCTGGATAGAATTCTCAATTTTGAGGGGTACTGGATGGGTAAAACAGTAGTCAGGACCCTAAACCTCATAGGGGCAAACTTTCAGCCATTTAGAGCACTATTGCGTGGGATTCCTTGGGAAACTGCCCTCAGAGATAAAAGAGCTGGGAGCTATTTATGTCATGTTTATATCAGATTTCTGCCTTAATTCAAACCACAGGAGTTGTATGACTTGAACAAGTTTCTCCATTCTTCCCCAGCAGCAATGACTTACACCATGACAAACATGCTTGTCAAGTCAAACACAGCCCCACCCTTTCCCAGACAAAAGTACAACTTTATCATAACTATAGCAAAGCTATTATTGGGAACAGCATTATTCCACATATAAAAATGTGATGAAGTGAAAAAAAAAACAATTGTAGCAGAAGAGTGGCAGGCACATTGATTTGAGGCATCTGTTACAAGCATTTGTCCCTGGGACAGGTGGCATCCAAAACAACAGGGAGGAATTAACATGAATCATAGAAACACAGAATAGTTTAGTGTCGTGGTTTGACCAGAAATGGGACATCTGGGATATGTCGTTTTTGCTGTGGTCACCAATGGGTGGTCGGATTTTAAGATGAGCACCTGGTTTGACCAGTGGGGTATTGGATCCGCCTCTTGAGACTACAAACCCAAGGAGTTAAATGCAGGGCTCTTTTCCTTCAGAGCCCTCTTGGGATTTCCGGCGGGAAGGAGTTGGGTCTCTCTCCCCCGGCCCAGTTGCTGGCTGGGCTGGGGGAGGGGAGAGCCACGTGGTCCATCTACGGTAGGCCGGACTCGGTGGAAGGGTGGAGGGAGCATCGAGCGACCTGTTTATCCCCCCCCTCTTTTTGGAAACGGAGAGAATGCAGCCTGTGCTTGAACTGTTACTTTGAAACTTGATATCATGTGCCGGCAGCACGGCTGGGAGGAGAAGGGGGGGGCAGCGAGCAGCCCAGCTGCCTGGGAGAGCTTTTAACCCTTGTGGATAATGAGAACTTCACGGAACATTACCTTTCCCAGGAAAGGAATAAGAGTGGAAGATGAAGGAAGAAACAGGCCAGTAAGGGGGTCTGGCAAAGAGAAAGAGAGATGTTGAAGAAATGGAGGAAGATGGAGTGGCAATTTTGCTGGACTCTTTTGTTGTATATCCATGGACTGTTTCCTGGTGATACAGAGGCTGCATTGCAGGGGGAAGCGGAGGCTCGGAGTCAAGAGAGTTTGGTGTTGAGACCCCTCGGCCCCAGGGGGTATAGAAGAAATGGGGGGGACAAAGGTCCCAGAGATGAGACTGTGCTCTGCTTGGAACGAGACGAGGCATCCTTAAAAAGGTCCACCCTGAAAGCAGGCCTCTGCCCCATCCCATGCCTGGTGGTGAGAGCACCTTGGCATGGAAAGGAGATGTCACGAGATAGCAGGACTCCGGGCCGTGCTAATTGTGACGAGAAGTCCGTGGGACAAGGAAGGACTCCGTCTACTCTTCATGAGCTGAAGATTTGATTTTCTAAAGGGTGGTGCCAGACCGAGTGTGGATAATTTTGGGAAATGTAAATGTACTGGGGATCTGGGAGGAGGAGGAGGGGGAAGTGGTTCTGTGTAGTTTTCATTTTACTTGTGGTTTTTTTTTCTTTTCTTTTGTAGTTTAGTTTTTGTAGTTTAGTTAATAAAGTTTTTTTTCCCTTTTTCCTTAAGCAGGAGCCTGCTTTGCTTATTTCCGGGTACCACCTCACAGCAGACGCCAGGGAGGGGGGAATTTTCATGGGGGCACTGGCATTGTGCCAGTGTCAAACCATAACATTTAGGTTGGAATGGATCTTAAAGACCACCATGTTCCACCCCTCCTGACATGAACAGGGATACCTTCCACTAGACCAGGTTGCTCCAAGCCCTGTCCAACCTCACCTTGAACACTTCCAGGGACAGGGCAGCCACAGCTTCTCTGGGCAACCCATGCCAGTGCATCACCTCCATCTGAATAAAGAATTTCTTCCTAATATCTAATCTCAACTTGCCCTCTGTTAGTTTAAAACTGTTACCCCTTGTCCTATTATACATTCCCTGATAAATAGCCCCTCCCTTAAATAAATAGTTGTCTCACCTTTTTATAAGAAGAGAGATCTTAACAGGTTCATTTTAAATCCTTCAAGTTTTCTTTCTTTCAAGACCCACTTCTACCAGAAGGAAACCACACAGCTGACACTAGGAAGGAGGGACCTGAGTTTCATTGGGAAAGCAGTTTACCTCACCTCCTGAACACTACTTCTAGCAGATTTTTTTTCGGTGGGAAGTTGAGAGAAGAGAAGCATCATCAGCTTTAGGAATAGAGTCTATCTTTGCTGTCAGCAAAGCACAGAAAGAAAAACCATAACAGTCAAGTTCATAACTGCCACAAAAAGCAGAAAGTAAGTAGGAAAACCCTACATGCAGGAACTGAAACATGGTCCTGATGCCTTGCAGTGGCTACCTAGAACAGAGGCTAGACAGAGTTAAAAGAAGAAAGTGGGTATTTATTAAAGGCCTTCAATAGATACACCTTGGGCAGTGCAAAAGCCTTGCAGAGACTACCCCCCAGATGGATGACAGTCATGAGTTTTTCAGACAGATATAAGTTTGGTCTATTTGCATATCAGAGGTTAATTCTCCAATTACAGCTTTAGGTAATGAAATCATATTGCTCTGGTTTGCTTCCCCCCCTCCCCCATACACTTTTTTTTATACTTTTCGGGGCCTGAGGCAGAGGGTGTCCTTGGTTCTCAGGCCTGGAAGGATTGTTTTGTCTGACCAAAATGTGAAGAGAGCTTACTAACACTCTATATGGAGTTCAGAGTTATACACTAATGCAGTACAGGATCTGAAAAATATAAATGCTAAAAACTTAAGGCATCACTCCCAATATCAACAAGCCTGTCTTCTGCTCCCAAATCTTACCCTGTAGCAGCAGCAGCAGCACCTTTTCCAAACACCAGATACTTAGGTCCCTCCTCTACTTTTCAAACATAGTTTTAGGGAGAAAAAGTGTTCAGGTTCTTTTACTAATCTAAGGATAGAATATGAAATTGGTGTATCTAGCTTACTGATCATGCCAGTCCTGTTTGCTACACTGTTCTACACACACAGAAATTATAATATATTTCCTTACAAATGTTGTATAAATGCCTCTTAGCTATCAAAAAGCCCATGCAAGAAATAATACCTTCACCACACCTGTGAGGGAACAAAGCAGTAGCAAGATGTCTGTCCTCAAGTCCCTCTCCCTATTGTTTATGTTTCCATTAAAAGTGTCAAAACGGACATACCTTCTTTTAAAACCTAACTTTCTCAGAGTAACTCTATCTAGCTTTAATGAACTAGGTATGCCAAAGTATGGTAGCCACAGCAAGTAGTAAACTACCAAGAAATCAAGTCTGGCGACAACTTTCTAGTCCTGGACCAGCTGCAAGATATGCTGAGAAACAGGGGCCTCTGCTTTATTCTGTTATATTAATTGTTGGATTTGAGCTATAAATAAGATTTAAGTGTCTCATTTCTTCAGCATTTTATAATATGCTTGCAGACAGCAAGAGTGCACTGAATTTCACTGCAGCTATACAAATAAGCCCCATAGCTGCCAGCAGGAAATGCATTCAAGTTTTAACTTACATTGCTTGGGTAGGGCTTCTGCCAATCTTCTCAGGCTAGTCAAACTGTCAGCTCCAAGCTGATTTAAAATGCTAGGAAGCATTTCTGTCAGCTGCTTTGTCTCAGCATGGCCAGTGATAGTGAAAGTGTTAGCAGCCAGGGATGCCTGAACTTTAGGGTTATTGAAATGAATGACTGTTCCTTGGTTGGTGAACATATTAACCTGCAAGGGGAGAAAACAAAACAACACCAGTATTTCAAGCAGTTTAGCAAGATTTTTCAATTTAACAGGAAACTAGTTGAAGTTCCTAAAGCTCATTTAAGCACCTATAGATAATTTACAGGAAAGTTTAACATGTTACTTTCAAGGAAATTATGTTTTATACATTTTATACTTCTATAGAGAAAAGCATTTTCCCCTTTTAAACAATTACCTCTTCAATTCCAGAAATATTGTTGACACCCAGTTTCTTCAAAGAAAACTGAAGTTTCTTGTCATCTGCTGTAGCTGTTCTATGAACAACCTTCTTCTTTCTACGGGCAGTACCCTTTGTAAAAAAAAAAAAAAAGGTTATGAATTAATATTTAATTAGCTGTTTGCAAACTCTAATTCTTGTGGCCATATAACTACTCTTCAGCCATCTACAAATCAACTTTGTATGCAAGGTCCTATTTCTGTGTTACAGCACACAACCCCACTCCTTCAACTGTACTGCAACAGTCTTTTCCTTGCTAAAGCAAGCTGTGCTGGTTTTGCATTAATTGATTTGTAGTGTTATAGATACATATTATAATACTGAATTTTCACAAATATTAAAATGGATTTATATGTGTAGTGTTAAAGTAACTTTGATATAGTTTTTATTTCTGTTATTAATTAAGCTTAGACATAGTAGTGAAATAGCTATGCTTGTGTTAAAATGCCTGCTTGGATGGGATAACATCCAATGAACATAGGATAAGGACACCTGCTACAGATATGCCAACTATCAGCACTCACTGTCTGAAGTAAGTATGGACCAAGGCCCAAACTGGAAGTGATAAAGAGGAGGCAAAACCACAGCCAAAGCCCATGCATGTTCTAAAAAGGCAGATCCAAGGAGGGGCCATGTAAAATAGTTCCTGGAAAATGTAAACTAGTTTGGGGAAAAAAGTTTACTAGGCATAAGGGTCTATGAATATGCAACAGGCTGATGCAATGGAAAAGGTATTTAAGGGGTAGCCTGAAGATGTGTGGCCTTGGCTGAATGCCAAGATGCACCCAGCCATAATAACCTTTGCTCTATGGTCCTTGTCTCCTATTGTCCTTTATTAAACTTTAAAATTTTCACAGGAGAGTGAATGTGTTTTTCACAGTAGTAACGAGGGAAAAACGTCAGCTACAGAAGTTATTCTCTATGAGGAGCTACTAAGAACTTCCTCTGTGCCTGACAAAACCAGTTACTAGTTTTGAATATTAGCAATCTGTTAAACCACCTAAAAGAGCTGAATCTGCCTCTGTGATATACACATTTAAAGACGAGCAAAGCCCGAGAATCGCTCTCTTGCTTCCGGCCTTGAAGAGGTAACTGGGTGCCAGTAAGACCGGCCCCGCTCTGCCGCGGCCCATGCGGGCTGGCTGGGCCAGGCCGGGCCCCAGCGGTGGCCTGGCGGGGGGAGGGGAGGCTGTGGGGCCTCGGGTGAGGCTGGGCCGGGCCGCGGCTGCTAACATCTTGACGACGCTAAAGCCTGCCGCCAGCCCGGGCCAAGTGGGGGCCCACCAGGTCCCGGGAGCAGCTCCGGGTCCCCGTCCCTCCCCCCGCCGCCCCTCCCCAGCGCGGCCAGGCCAACCCACAGCTCAACTGAAATTCTGCCACTACTGAGTTACACCAGAAACTACCAGGCAAAGGGAGGGGAAGCCGTCAGCCCGCAGCGTGCTACTGCTGAGTCCTAGCCTGGCTGCTGAGATCCTAGCTTCCTTCCAGCGCGGCCCCATAGAATCTTCCACCGTAAACAGCTCTAACCACTGCCTGGCAGAGATCACATAGCCCTCCGCAGGCCCTAGGCGAGATATGAAGTCTTTTAGTGCATAGATGAAACCTACAAATATCAATCCTCTCTCGAGTAAGAAAAAAAAAAAATGAAGACACATAGAGAACAACATAAGACATGAAAATCAGTAAAGAAAGAGCCAAGTCCCAGATAAAAAGAAAATTAAGAGATGCCTTAGTCTTAAGCTAAAATTCTTTTGATAAAGCCATGGTAATGAACTGTAATACACTAAAATATCCCTTTAATTAATGAAAAAGCATGAAGAGAGTGTTCAAACTATAGACATGAGCAAAGGCATCTATGCTAAAGCAAAGCAAGTGTTAAAGTAACTGATTTAAATGAGAAGCTTGAACAGAGATGAGTGATGAAGACCCCTTGCCCTTGTGAAAAATGCGTATTTTATGATTGGCTTTTCGCAAATATTAAAATGAATATTATATGTGTTGTGTTAGAAAGTTATGCTGTATTAATTCTCTTAAGTAGTGTTTTAAATATAGTTTTAGGTTATAACAAAATGCTATAATAGAAACTATGCTATGTAGGATACTTTTTTCCTAAAGAAAGGGCTCACACCGAGATAGCAGCCACAGGACACCTAAATCTTTCAGAGAAAAAGAATTTATTGCCCCATTATCAGGTGAAACTAACTTCTTCCTGCCTCGCTCAGTCAGGACAACGCCGTTAGGATTAAGAGGAAGAAGTTGATGATGACCAGACAGAATCCTGTGTTTGAATGGAATTTATGCATCATGTATGAGATGTATGAATATGCAACAGGTTATTGTTTTTAAGGGTTAATCCTCTGTTAACGTGTGTCCTTTTTCGGGCTTATGCTGCCCAGAAAAAGGTACCCGGATGTCCGTAACTCTTTGTTTCTATTGTCTCATATTGTCCTAAATCCAAACTGTCCAAAATATTATTACTCTAATTATATTGCTATTTTTATAACAATTTTATTATCATTAAACTTTTTAAAATTTTAAAAATAAGTGATTGGTGTGTTTCACACCCCCAAAGAAAGAAGTAAAAAACCTCTGTTCCCAGAGATGAAGATGATCTAAAAGACAGATAAAAAAAACTTTTGCTTTTAAACAGCTCATCCTTAAAATAATACCCCATAAGTTTAATATAACCCATAAAGGCAACTGTGAGAAAGCTGCAAAAGATAAGAAAGACTTCACAATTGCAGATTTCTGGCCAGCTGCTATTTGTAAAAATTAAAAGCCATGAGATAACTGTTTCTTGTGGAAAAGTCTCCACAGCACAGTGAGAAAGACTCCTCTCCCTAAGTAAACTAAAGAAAAATTACTTGAACAATAGTAAACGGACTAAAAATACCAAATTTATCTCTTTACACTGCTAGCAAGAAAGAAAAGAGAGTGAGAAAGAAATGTTCTGAAGATTTTTTGATTCTTATTATTCTTTCTTTTAGTTCTGTCATTAAAGTTTTCTTTATACCCTTTAAAGTTTGAGCCTGCTTTGCTCTTCTTCTAATCCTTATCTCACAGCAGATAATAAATAATTCTAGTAAGTGCCTAGCAATTTAGTCAACATAAAACCCACCACATAAGCTTTGCACGTTTGTGAGAAGTGTGAGATTTTAGGATGCAATGCACCACAGAAGCTTTATTTCCCAAGTCTCATGGGGATTCTGCAACATCCTACTTAGGAAAGAAAAACTTCAAGTGTATCCTTGTCTGTTACCATAGGCATAAAACTGAAAACTGATCATCTCCTGAAGACTGACATACTCTACAGTCCTGCATGCATAAAGAGTTGCAAGCTTAATTTGGTGACAAATCAACCTCTACAGAAAGATCTATTCAGACATCATTCCTAGGACTAACCCCTAACAATATCTTTGATCTTTAAACTTCCGAGTAACTGAATTCTTAATTCAACTGGTTATACATTCATTTCCAGACAAAGCAGTGTAATTCCTGAAAGTATATGTACTGCACAGCAGGAGGTGTGTGCAAGCATAACTGCTATAGCAATACTAATGATCAGAGTAGTGACAGGCCATGTCTGCACTCCAGTAATTTATACCATTGTGGTAAAGGGGAGGGGGGGGGGGGGGGAAATCAGGTCCACAATGGTCAGGAAAACCTTTGCTGGAATGCCCCTAACCATCAGCTTCCTATTGAAGAATGTACAACAGATTTTAGTCTACCATCCCAGTAAATACAAATGATCTCTCTTTTTTTCTATCCGTTATTCTTTACAGTGTAACACAATATGGAGTTGCATCTGGTTTATGTTAGGGATTACCTAGAGCTCTGAATGCCAACTGTTTAGGTGGAACAAGTTACCTAAAATTAGGATGAACTTCCATTGTTATTGGAATTAAATACCAATATAGACAGATGGAACGTGCCTGGGCTCGTCTGGCCCTTGCTGCTTGACCAAAGGCGGCAGCTGTGGTGGTTTCACCTCAGAGACACCTTTGGCTGGCTGGATGCTGCAGCTGGGCGCTTGGGACAAGTCCAGGCATGCAGGAGCTCATGTTTACCTCTGCTGGAGAAGCTTCAAGGCGAGGTGAAAGAAAGGAGTCGGGTTCTGCTGGAGGGTTTAGATCCAGAGCTTTATTCCTGGCCCACAGGCCTCTGAATCGAGTAACAGCTGTAACAGAACTTCCCCAACCGCGTGGTTGCTGTGTCTTTTAACCCCGGGGAGAGGGGGAGGGAAGGGGTAGGGATCCCACCAACCAGGTAAGGGGAGGGAGTCTCAGGGGACAAATGACACCTGGATGGCCCAATGTCCCCAGGGCTGAAAGGCATCTTTTGAACTCTGCCAATCACTGGATGCCCTTCTGGAATTTCTGGATTGACAGACAGCACTCAGCAGGGGGCAAGGGAGGGGGGAAAGGAGTAGTGATTGGCACCTGGGGAAGGATCGGGAAACTGAGGCAAACCATGACATCACACCGCAACAGCCCTCCACCTAAATAGAATATTTATCTTCTTTTTAAGATCTGCAGTCCTGCAATGTTATCAAAATCTTCCATCAGAGGCAATGTGCAAACTTTTCTCACAAGAAAGAAGAAAAAAACCCCAAAACAGTTGTGATCAAGGTTAAAGCCCTCTGTAGCCAATACACACATGCTAGCAACATGCACATAATCATCAATATAATACAGCAGTCCTCTGCTTAACTAGTAATCCATATAAAGAATACACAAAATCACCAAGCCAGTTAATTACTGGATTAATCCTGATTTAAAGCTGCTTAAGTGTGAGAAATCATACTCACTTCCAAAATTTCAAGGTTTATTAAAACCTTTTCAAAAATACAATAGAAGACTGAAAAGAGAAAATATTATGGTGCCAGGATCAAAGGATCTTTCCCACCATGTGCTGATCTACACAATGGATGTTCCACCTTTTAACCCTTTAGCCCCTTCTAAAGTTCTGTCGATCAACTCTTTCTTTGCTGTTCAGTGGTGGAATTTACTTCCTTAAATTTTGATTAAAGATCAGATGTTGCCATAGTAACAAGCTGACCCTCCCAAATGTCC